CTGCAGACCAGGGTTTGAAATACAACACTGAAATCCCCCCTATATTTTGCTCTCCTTGTTCAAAGTTGTCAGGGGGAGTTCTGATGTGGACTTTGCTGGGGTTTATAATTGGGCTACATGTACAAAGTCATGTAGGTGGTCAGACAAAAACCTGTTATAATGAGAGCATGATTGTACATCTTATATTATAACATGACATCTCTGTTAACCAGTCTATGGTGCTTAGGGCAGGCTGTCTTCAGGGCTCTAATATTTTCCCCAGTCCAACCTCAACAGACCTGGTAGAATTGTTATAACTCCTGTAGGAGTTTTGCATTGATTATCCTTTTGTCAAAATAGATTTGTAACTTGTGTGGTACACGTAGGTTCCACTTCCAGGTTTGACATCATAAAGTAGTAAGGATGATTTGAACTGAATTCTCAGACCCAAATATGGGATCAAACAAGATGTAACTTCAGCCCTGAAAAAACATCTGCCTTGCCTCCTCTATTGACCTCCTGGTTACCCCTAACTGGGACAGGGGGAGCCAGAGGTCAGACCTTCAGGTCACAATTGTGTACATCACAGTTTGGATGTTACAGAAGCTTTGCTAGTTAGCCAGCCACCTTGTACAAAGTTTTCACTCTTCACATACATGTATTTTTGTTATGTGCAGTTCCAGAAAGCTTTGATGAGCAATCAGTATTCAATGTTATGAACAGGATCGGAGGAAAGTGTGATACTGGCATGCAGAACTAATCATTTTTCCTCAGTTGGATGGTCCAAGAGATGACCTATACATGAGGGCCTGCATGCACTTTATTGTAAGGCATAATCAGGCCTTTTTAGTCTCAATAATCCGTAGGCAGCCTCCCCAAAAATGTAATTCACAATAATACACTAGCTGCAAAGTGTGAAGTCATAATCAGCTCTGAAACTTTGACGTAATTCGTAGTCGGCGGAGAAAATTTGCGCAATTCGTAATCACTACACCCCCATGCAGGCCCTCACACATGTACTTGCATTCCTGCCTTGGCCCTCCTCAGCCTGGCCTCTCTTGGCCCCTACTGGCTTTGGCATGATCTCCTGTGAAAAGGTGTCTTTTCCTTTAGAGTATACATGTAACCTACTGGTGTCAGAGAAAAGCACAATTTGAGGGTGTGCATGTCATGGTCATGGTCATGGGCACAACATCCAGAGAACATGTCTGACCAAATCCAAATCATTGGACAGATTTTTTACTATTCTAACCCAAAATAAGCTATATAAAACCATTTGCAAGACTTGAATAAAAAAACTTGGAAAGCAAAATCTTAGCAAAATATTTATGCAAAGCTATACCCATGCCAAATTGCAAGGTATTGGGCTGTCATAAAGTGGGACAAAAGCAAAAATATAGGCATTTCCGACATTTTTACCTAAAATACATGTAAGCTGATACTAGTGATAGTAGCATTTAGGGGAGTGAATCTACCACTTATCACCATAATGATACATTTTGTGGGACAATTTCACAGTATGAAATCTTTTTTAAAAAGTTAGATTTCTGCACAGAAAGAATTCTGCAGATTTCTGCAAAAATCTTCGTCCCCATGTGTCAATGGAATTTCCCTTATGGTTCATTCAACTGAATACTGCTGGTTACTAGCCCGAGTGTCAGCCTTTGTAGCTTTCGTCCGCTACATTTTTGTATACATATATAAGTGCTGAGGTCGGGCACCAAGGATATTTCTACTAATTCTAGAGCAGTACTAAACAATCAGGGATATCTGCATGTTTGATGATGATTGACTGTTCTGTGTTATGTTATGTTTTTATATCCAAACTACATTTTGAACTATTGACTATCAAGTTTCAGATGGGTCTGCCTAAATACCTAATCATGAGTCAACTGCTATAAAACACCACTTCTCTCTCTGTATGACCTATAAATGTAATTATGCCAACTTGGGGGTTGCTTGACTGGGTGTCAAAGTTGGGTTTGGTAGGATAGCCTGACTCCTGCTGCTGGGAGAAGCTCCAATGAGAGTTAGTGTTACACAGGGACTGGACACCTGTCATGAAGGTACTTAGGCAAATACATACCATGCATGTACATGTGTGCCAGATTTGATATGAGCCCTGGTGTGACTAATGAAGATTTTCTAGGAGTGTGGGCCAGCCCTAAGGATTTGTTTGTTTGTTTTAACAATCATGTGGGTGGGACCATAACTAATCAATGCTCAGGCCAGTAGCAATCTAAGATTTGTAAGCACAATACACAATACACAAGCATCAGCACAGCCCTTTCAAGCACACTTAGGTACACTCTGGATGCACAATGTATCTAAACATATTAAGATTCCTTTTCTTTACTGCTACAGAATATTCACCCCTATCAGTCAATCAACTGCACATTTACTAAGTATAGCTGCAATATCTGAAGGACCTGCAGCAGGATTACTTTTGATTCGGATCAGAGAAAATCAGTTTTGTAGCAATGTATTCTAGCGGAAAACAGGAAGTATCCATGCCACCACAGAGTACAATGTCTCTCCCATCGCCTCTTCTCTTGCATCCCTATACATTTGGTTGGGAGCAGCCGGACCTCTCGCAACCCGTGTTATCATACCTCCTAAATCGCCTGGCAATGAATCCACCTGCCTGATCGCTGCTCAAGCTGCGCTACCACGCCTACAACCGCCTGCCTCACCCACCTGATGCAAACCGACCCCGATCGTCAACATGCTGCAACAACAAAGCCAGCTTGCCGGCCAACTACTTCTGCCATGTACCCAACCATCTCTGGCCGCCATCACTGAGCACCGAGCACAACATCACGCCACGTGTACAAGAACTCAAGCTTCAGTCTGACAATGACCATCAGCTGGTGTGTTACGCCGAAAGGCGGTTATACCAACTATACAGATACAGATACAGCATGAAGTACTGTGACCTGAATGACCTGAAAGTTACTTTTTTTTTTTTTTTTTCCTTTTCATGGTCCTGTCCATGAACTTTATTTACAAACTATACAAACTTTTATATACAATACAATACAATGTAATAGATATATGTTACATTACCAGGGGAATTAAGTAACCCCACTTTCTCTTTGCGTTTGTATCTGATATGTTACATTCTATGCATAGTATGTTTTTAAGATCTTTGTAAAATATTGAAAAGCAATTTATTTTATCAAAACATTCGTTCTCTTTATACATGATCCAGGACTTAAATATGGCATACAGGGCTAATGCAATCATGTGATTGCCTCCTTTGTACATTTTCTCAGTTCTTGGTATTCCCATTATGGGAATACAAGTTTCAAAATCAAGGTCAATCTTGACTAATACATTTAAAAGTTTCTTGAACCTTTCCCAGAAGTTGCCCAATCTTATACAGTTGATAAACATGTGTTTTTCATCCTCTACTACTTTACAAATGTGGCACAATGGGGATGGTACTATTTTCCACCTATGTAAATTTTTGTTATTTATTTATAAGGCGGTTATACCAACTATACAGATACAGATACAGCATGAAGTTCTGTGACCTGAATGACCTGAAAGTACTTGTGCCTGAAATGTGTGTGCCATCTGTAAACTCTTTTGTGCTTTTGGAAGGTACTTGGCAGAATGTCCTGTCTTGTATGTTTTTTTGCAGCACAGGGATTAGTAGCAAACACATACACAATGTAGGACGAGTGTGAGTCCACTCTCTAACATCATAAAATAAATAAGGCATCGCAAATTCCTTCATATTTTGCATTTGGATAGAGAATTCTGCATTTGGGTTGCAGAATTCTGCACCTGAATGCAGAATTCTGCGCAGAATTCTGCATCCAAATGCAGAATTCTGCAGAACTGACCTAGTCCCAGGGGACCTACAGTGTATCGATGATACCTACGCAACTTTCAGCGGGTAATATAATAATGCCTTAATGTTAAAGGTCATCCGGAATGAGAGTCAGTCCGGAATTAAAGTGTTGTCTGTTTGTAGTATAATTATGCAGTTTGCACATAGTATATGCACCTATGTGCACTTTGCACATAGCTGTGTGCACTTTGCACATAGTGTGTGCACTATGCACATAGGTGTGTGCACTTTGCACATAGCTGTGTGCACTTTGCACATAGTGTGTGCACTTTGCACATAGGTATGTGCATTTTGCACATAGGTGTGTGCATTTTGCACATGTGTGTGCACTTTGCACATAGGTGTGTGCATTTTGCACATAGGTGTGTGCATTTTGCACATACTGTATGGAGAATTTCTCGTTTTAGTTGGGAATGTGTTATACTTAGTCTACATTGTACTAAGAACATGTAGGTGTATGTGGATTTTTATTTTCTGCATTGACTTTTTACCACCTATGAAGTAAATTTTAATAGTTTCTGAACAGTTTTAGTATGGTCCTTACTTCTCAAAGTCTGTGTGGTGCAGGTAAAATTTGTCTGGTACAGGTAATTTTCAATATCACCTGTATGCAGAAATAAGTATTTCAAGCTGTGCTTGTTCTCTATTTAACCAATTAAGGCCACACCAATTTAATTTGTTGGTTCTCGGATTCGCCTCTTCATTTTTTTCTGATTTGCAAAAAAAAAAAATTCTGGTTCTGAATCAACTGAAAATGCTCATATTTTGCCTCCAACAGTTGAGGAAAGTCCTTTTCCTTCTAGTTCTTACAGTTCCTCCCTCTTTCAATTCATTGTTTAAATTTTAACACAACCTTTTGTGTTGACGTCATGGCTCCTATTTTAACATTTCGGGCTATAATAGGATGCCTAGACCTGTTTTTTTTTTTTCGCCCTGTCGCTTCATATTTTTTCTGAACCAATCCGAGAACCAACAAATTAAATTGGTGTGGCCTAAACACAGGTCATTGACCTAAGAATAAACACAGTGTAAAACAAATAAACTAAAGCTGAACTGAAAAGACAGTGTAGTTGTGTGAAGTTGTTGTTACTGTAGCGTGCTGTTGTGGGGAATGTGGGCTATCCCGGCAGGTGTCTGATGTTTGTTGATGTTTACTCTGCAGGGTAAACAGATGGTACAGCTGATGGACATGTTCTCGCTATCTGAGATGGCGCTACTGTGTGACGTCACAGAGGTAAGGACAGAACTTATACTTTTATATTGTTACGTAAAGACTAAGCTTTAACTTCCAACACTAACAAAGTATTGGGACTTACCCCAAACTTTTGGTTGACTTTGTACCTTGTATACGGTATAGACCCGTCTTTTTTTTTTTTTTACTTCATCAGTCACCTCAAAACAAGGCTCATGGGAGCCACTTACAATGTTTTGGGTTACAGAACAGCCAGAGTGAACAGATGTGTGTTGACCAAAGTTTACTCTTGTCTACTCTTGGAACGTGACGTCAGAGACACGTGACCGTAGTAGCGGGTCATATGTCACAATACTTGTACTTTGTTAGTTAGTGTTGGAAGTTAAAGCTTAGTCTTTATTTCATAATGACTTGTACCAACACAGATGAACTTTCATGCTATTATATTGTTATTATTAGTATAGTAAGTAGTATAAGTAAGTACAGTATGGGCAGGGTGGCAAAACCAAAAAATATTCTGAATCTGAAATAGCATTTACTGCCATTTCTTAGCACATTTTTGTCATCATTTCAAACATGAAGCATTTGAAATGGCCCCAAAACAAGCTATGTTAGGCATCTCTTTTTTTGGTTACCACCCATAAATACAACTAGAACCAGCCTATGATAGTATGATACAAAACAAGCAATCATTTTGCATCAGTGACATCACATTTTGCCTCACAGATATCAGTATGCTATGGGATAGGGTTGATTTCAACTTCCTACGTGTAGAGAATGTACTATTTTGTAAACTTTAAAAGGTATATTTGTAAGGTACGTAGTCTCAATATTATCATGATTTCAGGAAATAGTGGGTTGTTATTATTAATTAATCCACTGTGTCTAGCGCATGGTTTTAGAAGGCAGAGGCCATCCCTCTCCTTCCACTTCCTTTTACCTCCCCAACCAAAGTCAGGTACCCATTTTACACCTGGATGGACTGAGGAAAGTGCCTTTCACAAGGACACAAGGCCCAGCCGTGAATGCTGGGAATCAAACCCACAACCTCTCTGTCTCCTCTCCACTAGCCTAACCACTCGGCGCCACATAAGTACTAAGTACTAGATAATAAGCTCATTGTCATGTTAGTCAAAGGTAGCATCCCTTCTACCAAGTTACACCTGCTGATATACTAATTAACGTCACAGCGACGGTATATCAGACTCCAAACGTTTGTTCCTGATCATACCGTACTGTGATTCGGCGGCTCTTTTTGTGATCCCCCGCCCTGTGCCCATGTGATGGATAAGGGACAGAATAGTTGTGGCAGCCCGTCTCTTTGATGTCAGTTAATTTGGTTAATTGTCATGTCACAGTGGAATATCAGATGCACTTGCACTATCTAATGACTTTTCAGGTCACAGGAACTGGAGTTTTCAGGTGACATTGTCTGCAGACTTTCATACAAAATAATGTTTGATATTACATTTTCTTACATTTGGATATGATTGATAATAGTTTCAGTATCTTTATATAATAAACTTTGCCATAGAATCTACATACTATTACTTTTAATCAAATCATTGCATGGTGATACAAAATGAAATACTTACTGTATCAACATGATTGTACATTTGTACACACATGGTGTGGGCTTATGGAAGAAAAAAAACTAAGAGTAACTGTTGATGCCAAATTTATGTTTAAGGAAAATTGATGATTGACAAAACAGTTACATCCTTGCTTCCCCAATGATGTTTACCCATGATAAGGCCACACCAATTTGATTCGTTGGCTCGCTTTTTTTTTCATAAAAAATATGAAGTGACGGGGCGAAAAAAATAAAAACAGACCAAGGCATCCTATGATAGCCCCAAATGGCCATGAAGTCAACATACCAGGCTAGTTTGTAATTAACACATTGATAGATAGAAAAAATGGAGAGAAGGGACCTCCTTAACTGTTGGGACCAAAAAAATGAGCATTTTGGAGTTGATTCAGAGGTTGAAGTTTTTGGTTTTTTTTGCAAATCGAAGTGGGCAGTTGTGAAGCTTGCTAGAGTCTCCAAAAATTGACTTTAAGAAGGCTGTACAAGCTCAATTTCTCAGTCATCATGATTGGAACAAACTTCAAGTGACTATAATTTGTATGACTTGTACACTTCCGATATTTGTATGTATTTTACGGACTTTTTTTGGTGTGATTTGGTCTTTAAATGCAGCTCGTCAGTTCCACTGATGTTTATCTGGAGACCCTTACAGACTCCAGACGGTCAGGTCGGGACCTTAATGTTGAGACATGGCTGATGCTATCTCCTCACCATTGTTCCCAGATTCCATTTAAATCTACAGCTATTGTCACGCTACAGGTTCTTTTGTTCAGCACCATTTTCCCCCGTGGTGCCACATCTCTGTTAGTATTTCTCATTAGGACTTATGTCAGAATCAAGAAGCTTCTCCATTAATAATACTACATTACAGGGCTGGAAATACTTTTTCTGCATACCTGCACCAGGCAAAGTTACCTGCAGCACTCAAAATTGAGGAAGTATGGATCATACTTATTATAATATGTAAAAATTGTTCAGAAACCATTGCCATTATTTCTTTTATACTCCATTAAAATAACAGTGAATGCAGCAAATAAAAGTTCACAAAGTCATGTACCATTAAACAACACCTACAAATGCAATTTCAGGGAAGCAAAACAAAAAATATTCTGGATGAGAAAATCTGTCTGATATTGACTTTACTGCCATTTATTTACCCCACCATTTCATACTTGAAATAGCCTCAAACCAATATGAGGAGTCCTTTTTGGTACCATCAATAAGAATCAGCCTACATTATACCAAACATGCCATCTATTTTCTGTCAGGAACATCACGTTTTTGCCTCACAGATCAGTATGCTATGGGATAGAGTTAATTAACTTTCTAGACTTACACAGGTAAAAAACGACCAGAGAATTGACAGTTTTACCGCCCTGAAGTTGCTTTAGGTGCCTGTAAATGGTGGCAAGCAGAAAATGAAAGTGCCATATTTCTTCTATTTTTCCTACACGTTTCTGTAGGACCTTTTTTATCAAATGATGCACCCAACCAGCAGATTAGGCCACACTGGCTTAATTTTATGGATGACATCCTCTGAAGACCCACAAACTAGTGCGCGCAGGCGAAAAAAAAATCCAGCCAAAAATAAAAATGCAACTAAACCACAGGAATACAAAGCCAGTATTGTGAATTTGCTTCAGGTACATAGCAAGGTATACGACAAGCTGGGACATGCTGGCTTTTTGCAGAAATTTATGAATCGAAACTGTTTCGAGTTTTTGAGTCGTGGAGCTTTGGTGCCATCGGTGCCATCCTCCAGAGTTTCCACTGTCTCTGTATTGTCGCTAACTACCATGGACTACCCAGGCCTAGAGCCAGACCAGACAAGATCTTTTTTTTTTTTGAGAACAGGCAAAAATCCATAAAATTAAGTTGGTGTGGCCTTATGGGACAAAATGAAATTATATTGTCTATACCCTCACTACCTGTGTATTACTGGTCATTTAACAACTTGAAGTTTCAGGCTGTGTGACTGGAAGCTCCCTTTGAAAACAGTTCCTCTGTCTTGTCATGCCCACTTCATGCTCCACAGTCCCTGCCCTTCCGTTCCTTTGTCTCTGAAGAAGCTCAGACTAGTGTTTAAATGCCACACAGTAATATTTGGGTAACACTATTGAACCAGAAACTAGACTCAGTAGACTAATAGATTATTTTTCTTCTTTCTTTTTGCTATAAAACTAGACAAGTCTATATTGCCCTATATACAGTGTAGTAAAAAACCTGCATATGCAATAGTGTTCACCTGTACATAACGACCACCTGCGCAATGTGCCTACTTTTTGTAGGTCTTCTTGTACAATTTTGATTGTATTTTGAGTTTGATTTGAATGTATTTTGATTCAACTCATTTACTTCAAGAATGCTTCACTGGACTTGAACCCATAGATATGGCAAACTTAATCATAGGCACCTCAGTCAGTGTCAGATTTTGGTCCTAACCATTCTAGCTAAAGAAAAAAAATTCACTCCTGTACGTTGTGACTCTTTCTTTGCGCTCATGTACTGAACCGACAATAAACATTTTATTTCATGACTCCGCTGACTCCAACAGCAAGAGTCCATTCTGGAGATTCTTTCAGGAACAATACATCAAAGGGCGTGCGTGCAGGCCTGGGTTATTGTTGTGTGGACAGTACTGACAGGTCCTGACTGTACCCAGGGTTGTACCCACCAGCGCTCAACAGGGGGTCTCGACCTGTGGCTACCTATCTACCTACAAAACAGCGCTGGGAGGGTGTAATTGAAAAACAGCTTTCCCCACAACTCTTCAAGCAAAGCAGAAAGTTTTTGAGTTAAAAGTCAAGCCTAGAACCAGGAAATATAAAAATGTTCGTGATGTCTAAGTGGAAGAATGTTGTCGTTGGCGAAAAAACTGTTGTTTCGAGCACAAACTTGAAAGTTAAACCGGTAAATTTTGGCAACGATTNTGTTTCGAGTTTTTGAGTCGTGGAGCTTTGGTGCCATCGGTGCCATCCTCCAGAGTTTCCACTGTCTCTGTATTGTCGCTAACTACCATGGACTACCCAGGCCTAGAGCCAGACCAGACAAGATCTTTTTTTTTTTGAGAACAGGCAAAAATCCATAAAATTAAGTTGGTGTGGCCTTATGGGACAAAATGAAATTATATTGTCTATACCCTCACTACCTGTGTATTACTGGTCATTTAACAACTTGAAGTTTCAGGCTGTGTGACTGGAAGTTCCCTTTGAAAACAGTTCCTCTGTCTTGTCATGCCCACTTCATGCTCCACAAGTCCCTCCCTTCTGTTCCTTTGTCTCTGAAGAAGCTCAGACTAGTGTTTAAATGCCACACAGTAAATATTTGGGTAACACTATTGAACCAGAAACTAGACTCAGTAGACTAATAGATTATTTTTCTTCTTTCTTTTTGCTTTAAAACTAGTCTTACTATATTGCCCTAAGAAAAAACAAGTGTTCACTAACATAAAGACCACCTGCCCAATGTGCCTACTTTTTGTAGGTCTCTTCTAAGTTTTTTTCCCCATTGACACAATTATTAAAAACCCTGTCTATATTCACCACCTGTCCACATAGACCAGATTTTGTCAGTCCCAGAGTGGGCTCCTTGTACAAGTTTAACTGTATGTTGAGTTTGATTTGAATGTATTTGATTCAGTTCATTTACTTCAAGAATGCTTCACTGAACTTGAACCCACAGGTATGGCAAACTCATGATATACTGCAAAATCATAGACTTTGGTCCTAACATTTCTAGCTAAGGCTACACCAATTTAATTTGTTGTTTCTCGGATTCGCCCTGTCCATTTTTTTCTGATTTGCAAAAAAAAATGTTTTTTTCAGGTTCTAAATCAACTGCAAAATGCTCAATGAAATATATTTTGGCCTCAATGGTTGAAGAAAGTCCTTTTCTTCCTAGTTGTTAAAGTTTTCAATGTAACAATGTAACTTTGTTTCATTAAAAGTTCAAAATCTATTGTTTTAATCATAAACCAGCCTGGATATGTTCACTTCATGGCTCATATCGTAACAATTCTGGCTATCATGGGGTGCCTTGGCCTGTTTATTTTTTCCCTGTGGCGTCATATTTTTTCTGAAAAAATCGGAGAAGCAACAAATTAAATTGGTGTGGCCTAAATCACAAAAAACATTCACTCCTGTACGTTGTGACTCTTTCTTTGCACTCGTGCACGGAACCGACAATAAACATTTTATTTCATTACTCAGCTGACTCCAACAGTAAGAGTCCATTCTGGAGATTCTTTCTGGAACAATACATCAAAGGGCGTGCGTGCAGACCTGGGTTATTGTTGTGTGGACAGTACTGACAGGTCCTGACTGTACCCAGGGTTGTACCCAGCAGCGCTCAACAGGGGGTCTCGACCTGTGGCTACCTATCTACCTACAAAACAGCGCTGGGAGGGTGTAATTGAAAAACAGCTTTCCCCACAACTCTTCAAGCAAAGCAGAAAGTTTTTGAGTTAAAAGTCAAGCCTAGAACCAGGAAATATAAAAATGTTCGTGATGTTTAAGTGGAAGAATGTTGTCGTGGGCGAAAAAACTGTTGTTTCGAGCACAAACTTGAAAGTTAAACCGGTAAATTTTGGCAACGATTATTATGGAAGACGTACGTCAAGGGCTTGAAATTAGATATTTTTTCAGGGCGTGCCGCGTATCCGGCTGTCAGTACCAGCACGGATTCAATCTATCACGAGTCGTGCTGACAAAGGGTCTGTTCATTTTGAATCTCAGCTGCTTTTAAACCCTGTAGCAAACCGTGGCCTTCAAGACTCTTGCCTTGTCTTTATTCAATTTTCCCACGTCGTAACACGATTTGAGAAGACAGACAACTTTTGATATAATTTCAATTGAACCTCCTTGCTGATGATATAGATACTGAATACAAGTTGCAATACAAACTGCTATAGTGTGATACAAAATGAGTACTGTATTTGGGCCATATCACAAAGCCAGTAACAGGCATGTAAAAGGCATATATCTCTTTGATGTAATCTCAAAAACCAACTTTGTAAACCCCAAATTTAAGCTGTGATAGAGCAGGCTGGTTAGTAAATTAAGGTAGTTAAAACGCAGACAAAAACAGTGCTTATACTAGTAACATCGCCAATCTTTTTGAACGTTCAATGGTAAAGGTCACTCAATTCTAGAATCTATGTGACAAATTAATTCTAATCATAGAGACACTGACAGAGACAGTATACATGTAGTTATATAATATATGAAACCTTGCTGCTTTCATTGGTGGTAAAAATTATCCCTGTTTGGACAATGCAGAACTGCTAGAGCACGGTTTGTTTCTAGTTGTACTTGTAAATGACTAATAAACTGGTGGACGTACCAACCACTAAGTATCTGATACCAGCCCAGAAAAGAACAAGAAACAGTCATGCCTTCAAATATCAGAGTTATCAACAAGGAATTGAGGTAGCCAAAAACTCGTATTTCCCCAGAACTATTGTAGACTGGAACTCGTTGCCACCAAGCACAGTAGGGGCATCATCACTAGAAAGCTTTAAACAATTCCTGCAATTACATGTGCAAAGATCGAGTGTAACAAGTCGTTTGTTGTGATATAGCTAGCTGCCGCCGCGCCGCATGCCTGTGAAGCTGGTGTGTTACGCTGAAGGGCAGTTATACTGGCTAACCCATACAGATACAGATACTTCTTGTATGCCGGTTAAGTAAGCCATGGAAACAATTTTAAGGGAGGTGAAAAAACAGGGCTAGTGAAAAATGAACAATATCTCGTGGCTAATTGTTGGACAGATTTCAGTACATTTTCCTCAGTGCTAAAGGTAATATCGCATCTACAAGACTAACATCTAACATTATCCGTCCAAGATACAGTTATTGGCTGTATAAATCACAAGTTACAGCAGGCCCAGTCGTTTTACAAATCATCCCCATTGTGATTTTGTGGGAGCTCATTATGAGCGTGTTTATGGCAAGGTGTGAACGGAAGCAACCCTCTGACCTACACATGTACGAATGTGGAGAAAAGGACAACGTATATAAATCATTTCTGCACCTGGCTGACATATAAGGGAATACTACTAAGTCTCCACTACTTTACATGGTGTAAGTTTGTGTGGAATAGAACTTACCCGTATTGGCTGTAGGTAAGACTGTCAGAAGGCAGGACTGGTAATAAAACTGTAGTCTCCCTGCAGGGCAGGCTCACACTGGTGAGTAGTCGGTGTCGCCCCTTCTGTTCTCGCCGCGGCTCACACCAGACTGCCTCCGCCGGTCGTGGCTGGGTGTATATGTAGTAAATTGCTCACATGGCCTGCAGAAATAGTTCCGCTGTCTCTGATATGGCGGCGATCATCCGACAAGCCCCCGGGCAATTCTTTACACCCGAGCGAGTTTTGGTAAACTCCTGAGCGGAGGCTAAGTCGGAGTCAAAAGCGGTGACTCCCAACCAGACATATCTCACATGCCTCACATCGGGAAGTGTCCCTTCCGAGCTCAAGGTGTAAGTCAGGACGTGCTTCCCCAAACTCTCGCCAGGACTTTTGTCATTAACGGCGGATCAGACATTTCAGCACGTTATAATTAAAGTAATCTCGGGCAATTAGTGACAATTATGGAGCTTTGGATAATAGTTTTTCTTTTGTGAGTTTGCCGCCAGTCCACACGACTAGACCCGGCCCATAACTATCCCTGCCCTACAACATGTATGAAGTCCTCTACAGGAGCAGTCTTGCAATTTGATACACCTTCACCTGGTGGCTAGGAGAGTTCTCTGTCCTGAGTTGTCCTGTAGCATGCCCGTAGCAAGGATTTTGAATGGGGGTTCTTCCCACTGCTTGAGGGACCAGCGAAATTTTGAAAAATGAACCTTCTGAAATGGCATTTCCTATGTTTTTTAGAGGATTTCAAAGAAAAAATTAGAGATAACTTTTTTCAATGACAAAGTGAGCCGTTTTCCTACAATTCCTGCCTCGCTGGTGACACGAATCAGTCCATCTTTTGAAGAAAAATCTTGCACCTTTAGATAAAAAGTGGACCAAAAAGTGGACCTTTGAGCCTTGTGGGGGGGTTCTTCCAAAAATTTGTCTATGAAGATACAAAAAGAGATCAACTTGATCTACCAGCAAAATTTGCTGCTACGTCCTGCCCCCTAACCAAAACTGGTTCCGGACCCCTAGGATTTTCGTTCGGCGCTTATCAAACAAAATTGAGATGGCAGAAAATAATTTCAGGTTGGCTAGAACACAGTCCTGTTAGCCTCGCTTTATTTCATAAACAGTCTAAGCGGACATAGTGTTGACAGAGTTGGTGTAGGGAAGAATAAGAAAAATGCCCTGGGATGACACTTGTAGATGAGATGGACTGATAAAGTTGGTGCATGTTGTCAGGTATTCAAGGCTTTAGGAGGGTCTGCATGGGGGGGTCCTGGCAACGGTTAACGGTAAATTCAGCAGGGCCGATAACGCTTAACGGTAAATTCAGGACGGTCGGCAACGCTAAACGATAAATTGACAGGCTTTTTTTCGAGCTGCACTGGATTTGGTATCTCGCTTTGTGAGAAAAGCTGATCACTGACAAAATTACGTATACCTTACATGTAAAGAAGAACGCATTAAAGGTATGTGTTCTCTGTGTTTCCCAGCTGCGACGTTGGCCAAGGCTCTACCCAGCTTGACTTTTTTCCATCCGCCCAGTTTTACCGATGGATTGATGCTCGCAATCTAAGGGGGCCGGGAGGTGCTCCCCAGGAAATTTAGGATTTTTAAGCCTTCAAAAACGCAATTTCCCGCATTTTAAGAGGCAGATCATGGTGTTGAAAGTGTTTGACGGTCCTTCTGATGTTTTCATATTTTTACTCAAGATTTTAGGTTGACAGATTCGTAAAAAAAAATTTGTAACGCTCCGCAAACTTCCGGTAATTGGCGGAAAACTGGTGCTGGCTAGAGCCGAAGGGGACCGAGCGCAGGAGCGCGAGTCGAGCGCCAAAGGCGAGAGCAATGAAGGGGGGGTCCGGCATTCTCCCCCGGGAAATTTTGTATTTTTAAACCTTCAATGACGCATTTTCCTGCACTTTGAAAGGCAAAATTGGGTGTAACGAAGAATTATTCATTAATGCTTAACGCTGAATTTAGGATGACAAATAACGTTTTATGTAGAATTAAAACGACCAATAACGCTTCACGATGAATATTCTGATAACGCTTAACGTTGAATTAGAACAGTCTGGCAACGATTAACGGTAAATTGAAATAGCCCATAAGGTCACACCAATTTAATTTCTTGGTTAACGGATTCGCCCGCTTCATTTTTTTGTGATTTGCAAATAAAAATAAAAATTCAGAATCAGCTGCAAAATGCTCATATTTTGCCCTGAACAGTTGAAAACAGTCCTTTTCATCCTAGTTGTTACAGTTATTCCATCTTTCAATGCAATGGTATCATTAAAAGTTCAAAATTAATTGTTTAGATTTTGAACCAGCCTGGTGTGTTGACTTCATGGCTCCTATCGTACCATTTTGGGCCATAATAGGATGCCTAGGCCTGTTTTTATTTTTAATTTTTTTTCGCCCGCCCGCTCCATTATTTTTCTAGAAAAATCCGTTAACCAAGAAATTAAATTGGTGTGGCCTAACGGTTAACGAAAAAGGGCATGCAGGCCCTCCTTTAGACGTCATCAAAACTTGATCAGTCATACCATCAGTTTCTTCGGTAGTGACAAGCAAAAATTCACTCTAACTTGTTTAGCAACTTGCTAGGAGAAAACATAACCACACCACTTACAAGCATGTCATGTATATCTTTTCAGTAAAGTCTTGTGTAAATAAGGTCACATGTAACTCTTGCGAGATCACCTTGTGAGTGATTGGTCATTAATAATCCTGATCAAGGCTACAGTGGTCGCTGAAAATTTGATCTCTCTGTAAACTGTGTGTTGGAATAAAGTTCAACATTTTACTATGAATACAAATTTGTTTATTTCTCGGTTATTTGTTTATTTCTAAGGATGAACTGATCAGAACTGAACTCGTTTATTGATATTGTTAATGAATGAATGAAGACCTTTATATTATAACCTGTATATGCCCACTGGGTTAAGTACAGGTCACAACAAAAGAAAAGTTTACAGATACATGGCTGTATAGTACATGGTCAAGCTAGCTCAGTCATATACTGGTTATAAAACTTTAAAGTTTAACTTAACAACTTACAGTAAGGCCATGTTGATTTGATTATATGGATGACATCCGCGCGCGCATGAATTTTCGGCCGTTTCCAAAAAAAAAAAAAGTTTTCAACCATACTGTAAATCGTGCAAAACAGTTGCTAAATGAGCAAAAATATACCATAAGTTGTAAGGAAAACATTTAGAAACGATACCAATGTCGTAGAATGCCAAAATCAAAGGAAAAAAGACAAAAATGTAAAGAAATGAATTCAAAGAGTAGATTATTCGCCAATAATAACATATTCTGTGCCATTTGTTCAACCTTCATGACCATGTAGATTTCATAGTGAAAGCAACTTTTTTTTTTGCAAAACTTTTTTTTTATTCGCACGCGCGCATCAGTTTTGGGGTTCCCAGAGGATGTCATCCATATAATCAAATCAACATGGCCTAATTTTAAAAGTTGGAAACACAGCTGTCAGCAATATACATTGTATGTTAAACTTTACCTTCTCAGACTGATACAAACTCAGTTTGCCTCATGTGGGCTGTTTTAGCACCAGCCATAATTGTCAAAAATCAGAGATTGTACAAAATATTTAAAAGTGGGAGTAAATTACAATCACAAAAGATTTTTTCAACATTTTTCAATGAATTTTTCAATGCAGTCTTGGTGGAAAAAATTTTACATAATGCCCCTATAATGTATGATAGAACAATTTACCTTGCTACATTGTTATTTTGTTTATTAGTTAAGTCATCAATCAATAATATTGATAGCAAGTCCTGTTTGCTTTGCGTGTGGGCTGCCACGCTTTCCTGTATAGTCAACTTGCTGGTAAATTTCAGGCATTCACTCTACCAGAGATAATTATTTATATCCGCCTTCTCACATCCTTATGCTGTGTTGTCAATCAAATAAGTTTTTTTGTCTTCAAATTTTAGATCCAACCGATGAAGGTTAGACCTCCAGGTAATGAGATACACAAGAAAAGAGCAGGCCTCGAAATTAACTTTTTTTATACTATTGTCCCAGAATTGTCCCAAACATAGATTTCAATTGTCCCGAACTGAAGATGGACTGTCCCAGCCTGCTTTTCAGGAAATAAGTTTATGACAACAATAAGAAAACAACAAGTGAATTTGTACAACTTGAAGTCCACTTTATTAGTATATGTAGGGAAATACATGATAATATCATGGGCATGGCACCGTCCCTGATATTTGGAATCCCTGATTGGGCAAATTTAAATGTTTGTCAGAGTATTATGGGCTGCCGGCAGTCTGCAGCAGGATGGATGGATCGCGTTCCTAAATGACGTGGACGGTCTGAGAATTTTCCAATTGCCCTGAAATTGTCCCGAAACATAATTTGAATTGTCCCAAGCTGAAAATTTAGTGTCATTTGACACTGGGACAATGTTAATTTCGAGCCCTGAAAGAGTGGTTGAAACAACACTGGATAGATTTTGAAAATGAAAATCTTTCAAGTAGCAAACTACTTTTTGTCAAAACATTATGAAAGGATATGTAAATGAGATGAAGACGAATTTTAGACAGTCCAAAAAAAATAATAAAACCAAGCTGGATATGAGGGAATATGTCTGATATTGACTGCATGTACTATCTCTTGGCACATTTTTATAGCCTGATTTGATTTTCATAATAAAGCATTTGAATGAGTTCAGAAATAACCTAGGTGAGGAGTCCTTTTATTTTTCTGGACTACTATCAGTTACTGTTAGAACCAGCGTACAATGAGAGACAATGAGCAATATCGCATTTTTGCCTTACACATACATGTATCAGTATGGTATCATAGGATACTATTAAGGGGATTCAACTGACTAAATTTTAAAAGAATGGCCAGAAAATTGACTGCAAATCTTTAAGTAAGGCTAATAAGTCCCATCTTTTCTTGTTCTTTGAAACTTTGTAATTTTTTCTACAGTAAAGGCTACACCAATTTAATTTCTTGGTTAACGGATTTTTGTAGAAAAATAATTGAGCGGGCGGGCGAAAAAAAAAAATAAAAATAAAAACAGGCCTAGGCATCCTATTAGGCCACACCGATTTGATTTTATGGATGACATCCTCTGAAGAC